TTTTATTTTATTGATTTCAGAGAGGAAGGAAGAGGGAGAGAGAGAGATTAGAAACATCAATGATGAGAGAGAATCATTGATTGGCTGCCTCCTGCATGCCCCCCACTGGGGATCAATCTTGCAACCCAGGCATGTGCCCTGCCCGGGAATCGAACCTTGACCTCCTGGTTCACAGGTTGATGCTCAACCACTGAACCACCCTGGCTGGCTTGGCTTTATAATTTTTAAAAAACAACCTGCAACATGAGATTATATTGGAATGAGAGCTCTATAAGGTCAGAACTACGTCAGCCTTGTCTCCCCACCACTGGTTGTGCTTCTAGCACCTGCACAAAGTTTGGCATGAAATAGGTGCTCTGGAAATATCAGTAAAGAGCCGCATGAGTGTTTCGAGAAATGCAAATTACGAAACTTTGTGTTGGTCTAGAAAGGTTGGTCTAGAAGAGGAAATTCCAGGAGGAATGTTGCCAGTAATATAAATGATTTCAATTCCTCCCTGTACTCAACCTATGGTCTTTTTTTGTTTGTCAAGTGCTACAGGGTGATGTTTCTCTTTTATTTCACCAGAGGGCAGTGTTCCAAGGATTATCACAGGAAGCCTTGTCTGCCTGCATTCAGTCGTTACTTGGAGCATCAGAATCTATCAGCAAAAACAAGGTTTGATGAAGTGTTAGGTGAAACCTTGTTACCTATAATAATATTGGGGAATACAGCATTTATGTATAGGCACATACATATAAAGGCATTTTGGCAGGAGGATTTCTTTGATTAATGACTTAATTTTGAGAGAAGCTAGAATTTCATTGTAGTGCTAAATAAAGATGATACTGTGTAAGAGAACTCTAAGTTTGCTAAAGCACCAAAAATAATAATTAGGTTATAAATTCTATAGGATAAAAGTTTCTTGTTATAGCCTTAGCAAGTAGAGAGGTGCTGGATTGCTGTTTTCCTTAGAATACCAAAACAGGGTATTCAAGGAAACACAGCAAATTATAATCATACCTACAATGATGTTTTATTTTACATTGGTGTTTTAAATAGTTTAAATGGCCTCACTTGGAGGAAATCAGCCAGTTAGTTTGGAAGACAGGCAATTGTGGCTCATGGGCTATTTGTTGCCATGACTTTGTGACTTACAGTTTTTAATCAGTAAGGGATCCGGGGCTGAAAACGGCTGCCATGTGCTTCTTCCATGGCCCCTGAGATTTTTCCCAGAAGTACAGCATGGTTGAAAGTGTTGCTCTGCTAACTCTTCACTTAAAATACCGCTGCCTACAGGGAGGGAGCTGTGTGTCGGTTTCCAGCTAAGATTTCTTTGCTGCTTGGAGTGTTCAAACCTTGTTAACCTTTCTGGTCTTCCAGATTTATAAACTTGATTTCTAACTTCAAGGCTTTAGACAAATTTAAAAAAATACCTTCTCACAAAAGAGATTGGGACCCAGTTGCTAGGAAAGTTCTCCCTTTGTTTGTGACCACTATGTTCTCCCATTTATGGAATGGGGAAGGAAATGACATGTTGATACGGGCACTACAAGAGGATGGAAAGTTAAGTTATAGACAGGCAGGTTTAAGTTTTTAAAAGTATTTCCAAGTCTGATTTTGATAATCCTCACCAGAGGATATTTTTTCCTTTGATTTTAGAGAGAGTGGAAGGGACAGGGGGAGAGGGGAGAGAGAGAGATAGAAAGAGAGGAACATTGATGTGAGAGAGACACATTGATTGGTTGCCTCCTGCACATACCCCAACCACGGCCAGGGATTAAACCTGCAACCCTGCAACCCAGGGATGTGCCCTTGACCGGGAATTGAACCTGCACCCCTTCGGTATGCTGGCCAAAGCTCTAAACACTTAGCAGCACTGGCCAGGGCCATATTTTTTATAATAGGTGAAATATAAATAAGTATGTAATGAAAACATACATTAGAAAAATGTAACATTGAAAGCTTTTGAGTGACTATGGATTTTTCCTCCTTTCCCCTACACTATTATTTAACTTTTCAAATTTTCTACAATGAGCATGCATTTATTGGATTAGGAGGGAAAAAAAATCCTAATTTAGAAAAAGTTCATATGTTTATGTCCTCTTGTACCTCTTTTTTTAAGGGAGGAGCTAAGAGCCTTTTGATTAGTCAGTCTTTGCCCTCATTGCCTCTTTTATCTCATTCTGTTTTCTACATATTATAAGGGGTGTAAATATGTATGAGGGAGCCCTCAGTTTGGTAAGCATTAGCGAATTTATTTTCATGGCTGAGTTTGTATACTTTTGCCTTTCAGCTTTAAAAAAAAAAGTTTATTTGAGCCAAACTGATGACATATGTCAGGGAGTAAGTTCTCAAATGCTCTGAAAAAGAAGTTTTGCAGTTTCTTTTATGCATTTGAAATTAAGAAAGGTATGTAAGGGAAGATTACATGGAGGTGGGAGAAAGCAAGGTGAGGATTGGATTATTGGACAGAAGATTATTTGCTCTCTTGAGGGTGGTTACATCTTAGAAAGAGGAGTCTGGAAAGAGGCATTTTAAAGTATGTTCATCTAGATTCACAGAAACAAGGCACAGGACTTTAAGACAAAAATAAGCCCTTTAGTAAAGAAGTTGTATTCTTGGGGCATAACTACCCATTATGACCTTCCTGGTTAGGATTTTATGATCAGATGATCCTGAGGTTACTTTCCATTGAACCCCCTTTTTTTGGTCCACAGTTCCCCCTTTTGGTTATAAATCAATCCAAAGGATGCATTGATGACCAACCTTTTGGTTGGACAGTGTAGTCTCACAGCGCTAGAAATGCTCATTCCTAAGAAGGCTCAGTGTCGATGTTCTCTTATTGACTATTGGGGATGAGGCAATACCATAATCTTGGGATCTGAGTTGAGGCTGAATTTTTCGCAAAAAAGGAAAGGACAGTTAAATGGAAGGTAGTTAGGTCATATGGGCTTCATTGTGAATAAAACACTGGATCATTTCTATTCTGTGAACTCTCATGTTTGAGTTTTGCCTAATTGCCAAGTTCTGTCTATTTTTCTGTATTTGGCATCTAGTATAACATTTACATAAGCCATGAAAAGAGTATAACAGTGATTTTTTTAAAAAGTACTTTAATATCTCTATATATTTTTAGTTGATTTCAGAGAGAGGAAGGGAGAGGGAGAGAGAGATAGAAGCATTAATGATAAGAGAGAATCATCAATCAGCTACCTTCTACACGCCCTTTACTGGAGATTGAGCCTGCAACCCAGGCATATGCCCTGACTGGGAATTGAACTGTGACCTCCTGGTTCATAGGTTGATGCTCAACCACTGAGCCATACTGGCTGGGCTTAACAGTGATCTTATACATGTTCAGTCATCATAACAGTTGAACTATATACAAAAACATAAAGAACAAGTATAACTATTATTATTATTACTTTTTTAAGTTCTCACCCAAGGATATTTTTCCATTGAATTTTAGAGAGAGTAGAAGAGAGAGGGAAAGATAGAGAGAAGTATTGAGGTGAGAGAAGCACATCGATTGGTTGCCTCCTGCACAAGCCCAGACCAGGGCCCCAGGCCGAGGAGGAACCTGCAACTGAGGTACGTGCCCTTGACTGGAATCAAACCCGGGACCCTTTGGTCCACAGGCCGACACTCTATCCACTGAGCCAAACCGGCTAGGGCAAATATACTAGTAACTATTATTATGACTAATATCATTAGCATACAAGTAGAGACAATCAAGCAAAATGGATCCTGAGTTCAACATCAATCAGTAGGTGTACAGGTCTTGTTGGACATCCCTGAGGGCTCCAGACTGTGAGAGGGTGCAGGCCAGGCTGAGGGATGCCCCCCCCCCCAAGTGCGTGAATTTTGTGCACCAGGCCTCTAGTGTAGTATAATTTCATTGAAATATTTTCAAGGTAGGATTCTATTTTGAGGAGCAGCAACCAGCCTTGCTCTTGTTTTGTAGAGACTCTTTTCTGAAGTGAGAGCTATGATTAGGTCAGGGCTTTGAGAACTAAGGCAGAATCACAGACTCTTGTGGATGGGTCCTGAGAGGACAAAAGGAGATGCAGAGACTTTCAGGGGTATAGGTTGCCAGTGCTCTGTTGGTGGCAGGATAATCCAAAATGGCAAGCCCAAATCATTGTACATTTGGAGGCTCCTTTTGTACTTTTGTATAAATATGAGTATTTCTGATGTTCTGGATTTTGAAACCACTTTGATCCAATAGTGAACGCTGCATTACTGAAGAGAAGCTAGAAAGGCACGGGAGGACGGAATTGTGCTCGCACTTTGAACTTTTGTTTTACTTCCTGCTCTGTGCTGGTGTTCTCTTCTGCTTTTGCACCAAGTTAAAATACGTTTGATTTCTCTTTCTGTGTTGCTTTACAACCTTCTGTCAGATTTACTTTCTAGAATATGCTAAGTAGAGCTGGTAACAGTGTTAGTAACAGTTTGCAGCAAGATTTTTCCAGATAATTCTAATCTGTATAATATGGGGAGAATTCGTTGCACAACAAAGGAGTGTTGGTGCCATAAAGTTATGCTAAGAGTAAAAAAGTTAGGTTAGGGCTCATAAACTTAGGTTAATATTGATTAATAACATATGTATTTTATATGTTCATATTTTTATTTAATCTGATAACATACATTTTCTGTCTTATTTAGACTCAGATTGATGGACAACTTTTTTTAATAAAGCATCTGTTGATTCTTCGTGAACAAATTGCTCCATTTCACACTGAATTCACCATTAAGGAAATTTCCCTGGACCTCAAGAAAACTAGAGGTACTTTATTGTCCTGGCTGGCACAGTTGGGTGTGTTTGACCTGTCCAAATGTATCAGCACAGGGTATAGGTTTATTTTATGTTCATCTGCAATTTTTTTGCATGCTGTGCTTGCTAAGCATGTCACTTGTTTATACTAAACTGAGCATCCTAATTACATCTAACTTGCTGTATTTCCTTTATGAAGGGAACTATATCTGAGCATTTCAGTTTGTAATATATCATTACCTCTCTTAGACTCTGCCACGTACTACCATAACCAGTTAAAAAATGAAAGATCAGTATAACAGCTACCTACAGTGTCAGCTAATTGGGATGGCTTTAAACATTGAGTTTGTCAGTCCATTAACATTCAGAAAGCATCTGGGTAAAGGGAAGAATATTTATCTGAGTCTGAAAAAGTCGGGTTCTGTTTCTGGCTCAATATTTCCTGGCTCTTGCGTGATCTTGAATAGGTGTCTTAGCTTTCCTATGCCAGGTAAAATGAGCATAATCAACATATCATGATACCTTTACCAGGTTATCAAATCAATTAAGATCATTAAGAATGAAAATATATGTAAAGTGCTTTGTAAGCTTATGGTGTTTAATGTAAGTGGTGTTATTGTTAAATCAGTTGGTTGTTAAGTAATGTAGATAGGATCTTGAGTTGGTAATATAGGATCATTTTGGGAAAGATGCCTCATCTATCTTAATCATTTGTCTCTGAATTAATAAGTGATGATTTCTAAAAGATCAAAGTAGTTATTTTTTAAGATGTTGACCTTAAGCAGTGAAGAGTATACCACACATATCCTTCATTTTTCTTAATTACTTACAAAATTACCTAAACGTCATCTTTTCTTAATCATTTTCAAAAGAATTCAGCTCTAATGACTTAAGCCATTCATTTATGTGATGAATGAACTTCTCTCTTATGTCTTGGGGGAATTGAGAAAATTCAGTCACTCAAATTATTTTCTGTATTTTGTGGTTCAGTGGAACTCCAAATATAGGATTTCCAAGGGTAGTAGTAGGTCGTTCCCTAATGACTGTGTCTATAAATTAGTAGACTTGATTTAACTCACCTGAGAACCAACGTGGTCTCATCATGAGTCATATTAAAACAGTTTGTTCTTTTTTTTTCCTTAATGCTCTCGTCTTTCCACCACAAAGAATGCTCTTTGGTTCTGTTGGAATTTGGATAGTAAACTTGTGTGTTATTCATATACTTGGTGATTTTTTTTTTAAACAGCAGCCCAATTTCCTGGCTTTTATCCTCAGAGAATGCATAGTTTTTCTAGAGCTTATTCTCCTCAGAAGCTTCTGTCTCTCAACCATTCTAGTTGATTTTCTTCTTTCTTTTCAGTGTGAGATGTGGGAATAGTGCTCTTAACCTTGAAGAATGCCAGGCACTGAGAGTCCTTACTTTATTGTAGTGGTGGGATAAAGCAGGGCTGATCTACTTTCTTTCACTTTTTAAAGTTCATAATTTGTTGCTGCTGGGCTCTAGTATAGATCCACTGAGGTGTGAGAAAATGAAATACCCTAAAATTTTGGCAAATATTGGTTTAAAGTATGTTTTTTCTAAAGTATATGTAATTCTACCATATGCTGATTTGATTCTGTTTATTGCAGTCACTTTGTCAGGTATCTTGTAGGAAAGAGAGCAGACACAAAGAGGCATTTACTAAAGCCTTACTCTGAACACTGGATCTGATAGCAAGTTCTTTTTCAGTAAGATCAGGTTCAGGTCAGTAAGTGCAATTGCGGTAAAACTACAGTTGGAAGCATTGCATGCTTTGCTTTCTCCAGTCTCTCTGGCAAAGCAAAACAAACAAAAAAAAATGGTCTTTTCTGATTATCCCTTAATAATACTTGCTATCTTTACTTTTAAGCCTCTAACCTTTCATGACTAATGTTATATCTTATTGCATTTGAACATCAATGAGACCTCGATTAATACTTCATATAGATCTAGTTGGTCTGGAGGTTAAGGGGTAAATATGTCCTTTTGGTGTTTTCTTTCTGGCTGACACATTAGTTTATTCACTCTACTTCAAATGAATAAATTTCTGTGCCAGCCAGGATCTTAACAAAAGAAGCTGGGTAAGTATATGAATATTTCAAAAAACAAACTATTAAGCATTATAAGAGTAAAGCAGTGAAATTTTCAGGTATCGATTACCATTTATCATTTTTCTTTTTTTCTATAAGTGAATAGTTAAGTTTAGTAGTCATTTTGCATTTCTGACTTCTAGAAAAATAACGATATGTGGGTACTGTGGCCATCTTGGCACTAATCTCAATGTCATCGTGGAGATGAGTTGGTGAAAACGAAACTGTTCTTGCTTTGTGGTAATAGAGAACTAGTGTATGTTATTAACACTCTGAAACAGTAACTCAGTTTTTCTTTTGAAATTGTACATATTCACTGGATGAGTAATTTGTTTCACAGATGCAGCATTTAAAATCCTGAACCCTATGACTGTTCCAAGATTTTTTAGGCTGAATAGCAACAACGCCTTGATAGAGTTCTTGTTGGAGGTAAGAAGGAATCTGTTTCGTTTGTGGTGGGAGATAAACTGCATTCTTTACATATCTGGTAATTTTTAAGCACGCAAAAGCAGGAGGAAATTGTCTTTTTTAGGGCACTCCTGAGATAAGAGAACATTATCTTGACTCTAAAAAAGATGTAGACCGTCATCTGAAATCGGCCTGTGAACAGTTCATTCAACAGCAGACCAAGCAGTTTGTAGAGCAGCTGGAGGAGTTCATGACAAAGGTATAGACCTTGGTGCATATTTGGTAAAGTAATTTTGAATTCTTCCCTAGATTTATTTTTCAATTAATTACTCTCTTGTGAAACTCTGGCAGAAAGAGATAGTGAGCCTAAGTCTTAATGATTTCGTCTAGGACATCACCTTGTTTCTTTTAATAGAAGCTTTTTGTTTTGAACTTTTAGATAAAAACTGCTTATAGCAGACCTCTGGGTACCTGTGTTACGTTGTCCTCATTGAGAGTATCTGCATGTGGTCTGGGACTCTCACTTTTCCTTCCTAGATTAGCACCTGCATGGCAGTCCTGCTTATCAGGGCTTCCTGGTAAGTGGGTGAACTATTTTCCTCTTTGTTTTACATGCTATTTCTCCCTTCCCTTTGCACGGATAATTGAAAATTGATTTTGTATCATTGCATTGTGTTTTTTGTTGTTGTTGTTAACCCTCACTGGAGGATATTTTTTCCATTGATTTTTAGAGAGTGGAAGGGAAGTGGGAGAGAGAGAGAGAAAGAGAGAAAGATCGGTGTGAAGGAGACACATTGATTGGTTGCCTCCCTCGTGAGCCCTGACTGGGGTTGAGGGTTGGGGATCATACCTGCAACCCAGGTACGTGCCCTTGATCAGGAATCGAACCAAAGACCCTACAGTGTACAGGCAGATGCTCTAACCATTTAGCAACATTGGTCAGGGCTCATTGTTAATCACTAGATATATGAGTTTATAATCATCTGTATTTCTCTGTCTCCTAGCTAAAATCCATTAACTATCTAATGCCAGCCACTGAAAAATTCAGATCATGACTATTTTGACTTTCCTGTTACAATCTAATCATTAAAAAAATTTAAGTGTTTTTACTTAGGACTTTCCTCATAAAGATGTTTAAAAAGTCTTGAAATTAACTTTACTTTATTGAGCCTTTACTGCTTGTCCAGACTTGTATTAGAAAACGTCATAAAAAGAATAGAAGTATCACAGACTTTTCTCTCAAATTTACTTAAGTAAGTCTTAACTGGGAGACAAGATGTATCTATGAAATTACCAGGAGATAGCTAAGCAAATTGTTCATTAGTGACTTGTTGCAGGCATTAACACTAATACCTGAGCCTGTGATAAAAACAGAATAGATTAGTTTTAAAAAACAATAATTACCAAAAAAGCAAACATAGAAATGTTAAATCAGTCAAACTACTCTTTATTTATTGTTGGGGCATGTTACTGTTTAGTGGCTTTTAGTCTACTCATATCACGTATTTGGGGGGAGAGAGAGAGAGAGAGAGAGAGTTCTCTACCATGTAAATTTAAAAAGAGATGGTGGAAATGTTTTCCTCCTAGGTTTCAACTTTTAAAAAATGGTACAGATATTGATACTTGGTAATTTATTCATAAGTCATCATAGTTTTTACTAATGTAAAACCAGCTTGTAGATTATAGTTTGTACAGGGTAGGGCAAAAGTAGGTTTATAGTTGTTTGTATGGAAAATAATACAATAATTAACAAATAATAATACAAAAATAACCTGTTTTGTGTACTCAGAGCTATAAACCTACTTTCGCCCCACCCTGTATTTTTGGGAGAAGATTCCACATTAATACTAGTGGGAAATATTGTAGATGAATATTTTGTAATAACATCAGCAGAATGAAACTTCCCATAGAAACAAGCTGATTATGATGAAATCTAGGATTAAAGGGTTTTTCTAGAAAAGTACAGTTTCCTTGAAATCAAGAGAATGAAAATTGACTGATGTGATTCTCTAAGCTGACATTAGTATAAGTTTGATAAATCTGGTAGTACTATACAGTTGTGCATTTTAAAAGACTCTGGACATGATGAACATTTTTTAAAAATTAGAGGCTTATGTAGAAATATGTATCCCAAGTCTGAATTATATAATGGTTCTCCATGAACATACTGCGTGTCTATAGTGGGACCTAAATATAGCTAAGCTGGTCATGCATCTTTTTTTTTTTAAAAAATATATTTTTATTGATTTCAGAGAGGAAGGAAGAGGGAGAGAGAGAGATAGAAACATCCACGATGAGAGAGAATCATGGATAGGCTGCCTCCTGCAAGTCCCCCACTAGGGATCAAGCCCACAACCCAGGCATGTGCCCTTGACCGGAATCGAACCCGGGACCTTTCAGTTCGCAGGCCGACGCTCTATCCACTGAGCCAAACCGGGTAGGGCAGTCTGCATCTTTAAAAAAATTTTTTTTTATTGATTTTAAGAGAGAGAGGAAGGAAGAGGGGGAGAGAGAAACATTGATGTGAGAGTGAAACATCGACCAACTGCCTCCTGCACGCCCCCTACTGGGGATCAAGTCCTAAACCCCGGCATGTGCCCTGACCAGACACACAACCAACTGAGCCAGACCAGTAAGGGTTCATGCATCTCTTTCTCTCTCTCTCTCTCTTTTTTTTTTAATGCATCTCTTTTATACTCTCCTCACTGTGGGATTTGTGAAGGAAAGACCCTCCTCTAGTCATCATTGAGAAGACAATTCCATCCCCTCTTCTTATTCTATGGTACCTCATTTTTCCTTTTCCAACTCTGGCCCTTCACTGCTCCTCATTGAGTTTCCAGTCAACATATTTAGTAGAGGACTGAGCATCCCTTTTATGTTATCTTACTCCAAATTTAGGTCTTCCCCTGCCCTGTTGGCATAGAGTGAGTTAGAGGTAAAGATATATACCATATACACATGTGCATGCCCAAACATGCATACACACACACACAAGCATGAAATGTAAGCACTAGAGTTCACAGATATATGTGATCATTTAAGACATGGCTTCTTAGAATTTGTGGAGCAAATTTTCCCTTTTTCCTAGTGAGTGTTGTATTGAAAAACTTTAAAAAATGATTTTTAATTTTTTATAATAAATATATTTTTATTGATTTCAGAGAGGAAGGGAGAGGGAGAGAGAGATAGAAATATCAGTGATTAGAGAGAATCATTGATTGGCTTCTTCCTGTACGCCCACATTGGGGATTGAGCCCACAACCCAGGCATGTGCCCTGATTGGGAATTGAACTGTGCCCTCCTGGTTCGTAGGTCGATGCTGAACCACTCCAGCCACACTGGCCGGGCTAAAATGATTTTTTAAAAGCAAATCTGTAAGTGAAGTTTTTTGTGCCTTTTTTATTATAGTTGGCATTTTATAAGGCAACCAGTGCTTGCACCTTGATAAATGATTGTAAGAAAAACGGCATCCATAGGTACAGAAAGGAAACAGTATTTGATCTTTCATTTGGATGTATGCTTTTAGGTGTCAGTACTTACCATTTGGATGTAAGTCTCATCAACAAAATGTCCTCAGCTTGTTTTAAGCTTGGACTGATTTTATAAATATACTAGAGGTCTGGTGCATGAATTCATGCACTAGTGGGGTCCCTCGGCCTGGCCTGCGGGATCAGGTTGAAACTGGCTCTCTGATAACCCCCAAGGTGTCCCGGATTGCGAGAGGGCGCAGGCCTGGCCAAGGGCCCCCACCGGTGCACGATCAGGGCTGGGGAGAGATGTGAGAGGTTGGCCAGCTGAGGAGGGATTGCGGGAGGGCTCCAGGGTGTGTCCGGCCTATCTTGCCCTGTCCCGATTAGCTGGACCCCAGCAGCAAGCTAACCTACCGGTTGGAGTGTCTGCCCCCTGGTGGTCAGTGTATGTCATGGCTACTGGTCAACCGGGCGACTGTCTGCCCCCTGGTGGTCAGTGCACATCATAGCTAGTGGTTGAGTGGCCTTAGCATATCATTAGCATATTACGCTTTGATTGGTTGAACTGATGACCGGACGACTGGACACTTAGCATATTAGGCTTTTATTACATAGGATATGGGCTTGCATAGTAAAATAAAATGTGTGAGTATGTAGAGAACATTCTTAGGTTGTTAGAAGACTTATTTTTTAAAAAATATTTTTATTGATTTCAGAGAGGAAGGGAGAGGGAGAGAGGGATACAAACATCAATGATGAGAGAGAATCATTGATTGACTGCCTCCTGCACTTGCCTCCACTGGGGATGAAGCCTGCCACCTAAGCATGTGCCCTGACCTGGAATCAAACTATGGCCTCCTGGTTCATAAGTCAACACTCAACCATGAGTAACACCGGCCAGACTCATTATGTTTTAACTAGAGGCCCGGTGCACGAATTCATGCACAGGTGGAGTTCCTAGGCCTGACCAGTGATCAGGGCTGAACGGGGCCACCTTGCCCTGTCTGGGTCTGGGGTGCGGGTGAACCAGATTCAGGGCTGTCAGGGCCCCAGCAGCACGCTGTCCAACGGCTGATTCTGTGAGGAATCGGGCTCCCCGCTCCCTCCTGTCTGAGTCCAGGTTGTGGGTAAACCGGATTTGGGGCTATCATGGCCCCAGCAGCAAGCTAGCCAACGGCTGATTCCATGAGGAATCGGGCTTCCTCCTTCCTCCTGTCTGCATCCAGGGTGCAGGTGAACCAGATTTGAGGCTGTCAGGGCCCCGGCAGCAAGGTCTGGGTCAGTGTGCGTCATAGCTACCGGCTGGTTGTCTGGTCATTCCGGTTGTTCGGTCGTAATGGTCTCTTAGGCTTTTATATGTATAGACTACATATAGGTAGGTTTAAATAGTGGTAAATATCTTTTGAGAGAAGTACTAGTTTAATTTGTCATCAATGAAATGAAACTTTTTTTTGTCTCTTTTACTAGGTTTCAGCATTGAAAACAATGGCCAGTCAGGGAGGACCCAAGTACACTCTCTCACAGCAGCCATGGGCACAACCAGGTATTCATATTTTGCTATCTGGGATTTCTTTTTTTTAGGATATTGATTAATTTCCATTTATATAGTCCTTGCTCTGACACTTGGAGTAGGTTTCCTACTCTTACTGTGGTTTAGCTTAATACAAGATGCAGTTTTGAGCTGACAGGTCTTTTTTTATTGGCCACTACTACCTGCATTTCAACAAGCATTTCAAGGAAGGAAGAATCTCACACACACACACACACACACACACACACACACACACAGTTAAAAATAAAATGTGGCTTAGATGGAGACACTGAGGCTGCTGGTTTCTGTACAACCATTTTTCATGGTTTGATGAAAATACTGTAGATGATAGTATGAAATTACAGCGTGAATGCTACTACTATTTTCAAGTATTATAAAGGAATGTGATACATTATTTTGTTCATCATTTTATGCAAGCTGCACCCTCTGTTCAGTGTTTTAGAGTGTTTGAGAAAAATAATAAAAATTGTAGTGTCAGTTGGGAGTGGGCAGATATGCTTGAAATGTTCCCAATCTTACTCTTTCTTAAATGTACATTTTTTAGAAGATTATTTTTGTTGCTGTTGTTTTTTATCTTTAGCAGTAGACATTACTCATTTAAAATCATGACTAACTTTGTGCATTATTTTAGGTACATTTTGTGATATTTTAAGTTGCCATTAAACCAGAATAAATAATTTTGTTAGATGGTATATTTGGCCGTCCTTCTCCTGGCCCATACTGTGATAGTGATTCTCTGAAACTAGAAAGGGCAAAATGGCAAAAAAATCAGTGTTTTAATTTGGGATAATCTGTGTCCAAGTTGGTAGGGAAGCTTTTTGCTCATTGTGAGGGAGATCCAAAGAATGATTCTGGTTTAGCATCTACAAAGAATTGACTGTCGATAAGCATATAATCTAGAATTAGGTTTTTAATATTATTGGTTTTCCACATAAATGAATGTTATGTCTGTCAGGTATTTCTTTTGGGAAAAAGAATTGAGGCCATTCTAAAATTTTCAGTTATTATTATTTAACTAGAGGCCTGGTGCATGGATTTGTCACCAGTGTGGTCCCTCAGCCTGGCCTGTGCCCTCTCGCAATACAGGACCCCTTGGGGGATGTTGGACTGGTGGTTTTGGCCCGATCCAGGGCCTGACCTGTGGGGATTGGGCCGAAACCGGCTGTCCGACACCCCTCAAGAGATGTAGTAATGCGCGAAGCAGCAGGCGGCCAGGGAGGAGCCTGAGTCTGGGCCAGGCCCTGAGCCGCTCCCGCTCATCCTGGCCCCGCTGCACCTGCCACCACTGCCACTTGGTAGCCCTGCTGCGGAGGCGGGAGAGGCTTGCGCTGCCACAGCTGCGCTTGCCAGCCCTGAGTCCGGTATCTGGTGCCCGTCGGTCAGCTGAGCGTCGTTCAGCAGAGCGGCGCTCCCACTGTGGGAGTGCACTGATCACCAGGGAGCAGCTCCTGCATTGAGCGTCTGCCCCCTGGTGGTCAGTGTATGTCATAGCGATCGGTTGACCAGTCGTTTGGTCTTTTGGTTGCTTAGGCTTTTATATATATAGATGCCTCATGTTAATTAACTAATTAATCTATATATATAAAGAGCCAGGGTCTGTAACGTCCAAAATGACTGAAGGGACAACTGAACGCCAGAACTGTAAATTACTTAAAAAGCAAAATTACAAATAACCTCTTATTACACAGTTTAAAAGTATATTTAATTAATTTTGTCATAGTATGTGTGATAAGATGCTGGGTAAAATCCATGAAAATAAGAGTTCCTGGGGCCTGAAATATAATATTTCACATGCACATGACACTAATGTGTAATTTGAGGGCATGTATAGGTGACATAATTTAGTGCTGATCTAGAGACACTGGCCTTTGGAAAGTGTGACAGGACCAGTATTATCAATGCCCAAGGGTTACAATCTCCCATTCCCATTCTTCTAAAGGAGGTCCTGGTTTTACCTAGGGGTTTTCCTCTTTCAGTCTCAAACCTTAGTTATTCTATTCCTGAGGTGTTTTTGCAAATGACACAGGCAGGAAAAGCGGGGGGGGGGGGGGGGGGGAGAGATGGGGCTGATCAGCAGCTGCCGTGGCTGCTAGCAAGGCCCAGAGAGAGCAGGGTCTGATCCCCAGCCTTTGTGGCAACTGTTGATCAGCCCTTGCCTCTCTCTCTCTGGGCCTCGCCAGCAGCCGTGCCTCCCCCCCCCCCCCCCCCCCCCCCCCCCCCCCCCCCCCCCCCCCCCCCCCCCCCCCCCCCCCCCCCCCCCCCCCCCCCCCCCCCCCCCCCCCCCCCCCCCCCCCCCCCCCCCCCCCCCCCCCCCCCCCCCCCCCCCGAGAGGTCAGCAGTTCAGCCCGCTCGTCAGCAGCCTGGGGTGGCTGCTGATCAGGCCCAGAGATAGGGCTGGAGACACTGACTGGCATAGAAACCGGCCAATTAGAACCAAATCTGGGTGAACTGCGAGGAGCCAAGGGCTGCCTTGGAGGCGGAGCTATTGACGCTGACTGGCATAGAAATCAACCAATCAGAATCTAATCTGGGTGAACTGCAAAGGCAGAACCTAAGGTGGGGGCTGAGGAAGGGTTTTAAGGGCAACAGCTGTTTAGTGTAAGGTGTAAGAAAGCGGTTCAATTTTTTAATGACCAGTTTGGCAGTATAGTGCATATGGCTGGCTATCAGTCCAGATATAGGGATTATGTATTTTTGTCTGCCAAGAGCATCTCCTCCTGCTGAAAAAGACTCCCCCCCCCCCATTTAAGCAATCCTATCCTATATAATCTATCTATACTAATAAAAGTGAAATATGCTAATTAGACCAGTTGATGGGCCATATTCCGGATGTCCGACTTCCTTCCAGACAAAGCCATGGTGATGGGGGCCGAGGCAGAGGCTGTTAGGGGTGACCAGGCCGGCAGAGGAGGGCAGTTGGGGGCAAGATCAGGCCGGCAGGGGAGGGCAGTTAGAGGTGATCAGGCAGGCAGAGGCAGTTAGGGGTGATCAGGCCGGCAGGGGAGAGCAGTTAGGGGCAAGATCAGGCCAGCAGGGCAGGGCAGTTAGGGGCGATCAGGCAGGCAGGTGAGTGGTTAGGAGCCAGGGGTCCCCAATTGGAGAGGGTGCAGGCTGGGTTGAGGGACACCCCCCCCCCATGCACAAATTTCATGCCCTGGGCCCCTAGTTAAAATATATTTTTATTAATTTCAGGAAGGAAGAGAGAGAAAGAGATAGAAACATCAATGAAGAGAGAGAGTCATTGATCAGTTGCCTCCTGCATGCCCCCATGGGATCTAGCCCATAACCCTGGGGCATGTGTCCCAATGGGGAATCGAACCATGACCTCCTGGTTCATAGGTCTATGCTCAACCACTGAGCTATGCCAGTTGCGCTGCCTCATGTTAATTTAAAGTTGAATTAGAACTAAGAAGTTGAAAGAGTAGCTCTCTATCTCTTAGGAAGATTTGTAAATGCAGAGAATTAACAATTGCACTGAAAGGAAGACAGGGTATTATTTAAAAAATTTGCCATGTGAACTTTGTTGATGTCAACATAAGTTTGCATTGATTTGCTTTATTGCAAGTGAACTTTGTGACATGCTTTAGGCCTTCCATTCACTGTATGAGCTTGGGATCTTTGCCACCTTACTGAAGGACAGAGAGTGTACTCAATGCTGCAGTACATTCTTTCAGAAGACACAAAGCCAGATTCTCTTACTGACAATACTGGAAATTCTAGCCATGGTTGACCTGGTGGCGACCCCCTGTTTGACCCCTCACAGTCGGGAGCAGACTCATTAGTGCATTATTCAGCATGATTCTAGAAAGAATTCTAACCATCTTTGGATTAATTGGGCCTTGGTCTCAAGGTTCAGTCACTTACAGAGCTTATCTCGAAATAGGAGCTGATTTTATTTTGAGTGTTTAAGTAAATGAAACTCTTGGGTGTAATCTTTCTTCAGATAGATAGAAACCAACAAATAGGCCCAGGCATATTTATATTTAGTGCAGCCACCCCCAGGGGCTTGATGCATAGTCTCCTTTGGAAAGGTCCTTTCCTCAAGTGGAATCTGTATAGAACCCCAGTGTTGGTGTGTTGTGCTCTTAAGCATCACTAGAGTTGTCACTAGTAAAGATGAAAGGGAGCTGACAGAAAAACATTAAAATAGGGCTTGCTGCTTTGTTATTTAACCCATTTTGTTTTTTTCCAAGTGAGGAGATCTTGGCAAATAAAATGATAGGACTTGAGTTTACCTACTTGTATCTTCTGTCTAGCCACTGGGGCCGGCTGTGGAGTTGCTTTTTCTTGCTCTGTAATACAAGAAGCCCAGACTTAAATGTCAAAGAGGTTTTGTAGCTTTTGAGATGGGAGCATCAAAAACAATTGAGGGAGTTGTCTTGGGCCTCTAGAAACCTAGCATTGCTGGTTCATGCAGATGTGATCAGGTTACAGGGTTCATTTCATGATAAACTCACAGGAGATCCAGTTATAAATTAGGATGTCCTTTTGTTAATTTACTCTGGGAAATATGTCTTTTTAGTAATTGGAGGATACAGTAGTCCCCTTTATCCACTGAGGATACAGTCCAAGACCCCCCAGTAGATACCTGAAACCAAGGATAGTACAGAATCCTGTAAATTCTATGCTTTTTCCTACACAAACATGCACTTTATGGCTTCTTTTTGGCATATCCAAATTGGCAGCATCACTGCAGGTAGAATAAGGGTTACTTGAACACAAGCATTGCCGTACTGCAAAAGTCAGTCTGATAACGGAGACAGCTACTAAGTGACTAACAAGCAAATACAGCGTAGATAAAGGGTGTCCCAAAATTCACGCAAGAAGTAATTTTGATAGAAAACACAGGTTTATAATTAAAAATTGTAAATTTTTTATTGATTCATAAAGTATACAGTATAGGGTTATGTATGGAATAGCATATCGGGTAAATGGCCTCCACGGCTTTGCTGGCACATATGCACTCTTTTGTTGAAATTTTCCATGACCGTTTTGCATAAATGTGG